AAGCAGGTGAGAGCCCCAGGGTGGGGGTAAGGACCCCAGCGGCCATATAGCCCATCCCGAGCATTTTGCGTGTATTGTCCATGCACCCCAGGACCCCGCCATGGGCTGTGCATTCTGCTCAGTGCCAGGCTGAACCCGGAGACCGGAGGACGTTTCCAAGATCACCCAGCTGGCGATCCGCAGAGATGGTTCGGATCACTCTCCCGTCCGCGCCCGAAGTCCCCATCCTAAATCGTGACAGGAGGACTCTCCCAGGAGCGCAGGCTGCTAAGCGGGGGCACTGGTGCCCGGTGGAGGCGGTGGACTGCCCCCTCCCGAGGTCCTCCGCAGACATTTACTCTCCGTACCTGTCCCGTGCCCAGGGCACGGACCCAGAGCTCACACCAGGCCGCAGATGTTCGTGGGGTTGGCAGCGGACAGGCTCATTCGTCAGCTTTTGGGAGTGTCGCCCTCCCGACCTCATCTTCTTCTTGAGCACGAGAAAGAGCGGGAGTTCCAGAAACGGAACAGACCCAGAGCCGCCGTGTCCCGTGGAGTTTATCTTGAGCTTCCTTTCCTCAGAGACGGTGGATTCTCTGCCCCTCCCTCCCCCGGGGTTTGGTGCAGGGGAGGGAGGACGAGGAAGGGACCGTGGCGCGCGGCGAGCACCCTCGTCTGGACATGGCGACAGAAGGGAGCGCAAGGGGCTGGAGCCCTTGGGGGCTGCGTCTCCTGAGCCCTTGGCCTCCCCCTCTCCGTCATGCTCTGTCTCGGCTCCGTCACCGCAGAGTTCCGCACGCTTGCGGCTTCAATAGCAAACGGTTGTTCCTCACGGTCTGGGGCCGGGAAGTCAAGGTCAGGGGGCAGCCTGTTGGGTTCTGGAGAGGGCTCAGCCTGGTCTGAAGATGGCCGCCTCTCGCTGCGTCCTCATGGTGAGAGACGCCGCTCACAGCTCTTGCTTTTTCGCCAGCATGAGGCCCAACCCCACGCCCGAACCTCCCCCAGCCCCTTCAGCCTCCACCCTGTTTCCAGTCAGCCCATTTCTCCATGGGCCTCAGAACTGAAATAGAGGGTTGGGGGGTGAGACAAGGTGTTGGAGCTGGGCACTGCAGGGTTCGCAGGGTGTTTCTGTGGGAGAGGGTCTCAGGTGGACTGGCTGGAGTGGAAGGGCTTGGCTGGTGAGTGTTTTTTGGTTTTCCTTGTTATTATTTTTTGGTGATTGTTTGTTAAGGCCGTTGATAGGTGCTCCAAACCTGTCCACTGATGCTAAAAAGAATAGGAAGTGGCCCCGGCAGGTGACCCTCGCTGCTCTCTCCACTGGTCCTTTATGTGGCCCCTCTTACAGCACCTCACCATCTACTCGGGAACATTCACTGTGAACCTACATGTTTCTCAGCTCCCCGATGCAACAGGGCAGCAGGTAGCAGGGATTTATCTCACCCCGCTATGGGGTGCTGGCTCCTCGGCTAGGAAAACATCCCCTTCCCCCCACCCCATGTTCCCCACCTCTCAGAAGTGGGCCTGGATGACAAAGGAAAACTAGTGCCCAATTTTCTCAGTCTGGACAAAGTGACTCTCAGTGCTTCTGTTTTTCCCGGCCTTATCTCACTCACTTCATGCTCAACTGGCGTCTCCTTCAGGCTGCCCCTTCCGGGTGCTGCCCGGCTCTGGGGCTTCTGCTGGCACTGGCCGGAAGAAGCCCCCGCCTTCCTGGGCTGGAGAGGGCTCTTCCCACTATTTGGAAACTCTTCCCCATGCCTTGTTCTCTTGGTCACCTAGAATGGCCGTCGAGCTTCCCAGGATGCAGGACTCAACTTGAAATGCTCTTCTGGGCCACGCAGGGTAATTTCGGGTGGTAAATGAGCCAAGCATGAAACAGCATTGAATCACGTGGTCAGAAGAGTATTTGATCGTTTCATTTTCACACTCTGTCCTCACTGATCCCGTCAAAGAGACGGACTGGTGATGGATTTGTGTTCAGTGTGTTTAATATGATAATTACTTTTGTTTTAAGGGAGCCGTACCAAAGCTCATTTACGCTCTTATACTTTCTGATTTTTTGCCTGTCCACAGGTGTACCAACTTTTATATAAACAGAATCATATCACATGTGAGTTTTTAAAGTACAGTGTTTTCTCTTGCCCATGGCTTCCCCTCTCCCCCCACGTCTCTTCGCCCACCAGCCTGCCTGGACCCCGGTATTAAAACTCACCACAGGGCCTCATTTGCAGGACCCGGTGCAAAATGAAAATGCAGCCCCGGAGGTCAAAGATTATTACAGTCTTCAAGATGGAGAGAGCAGAGCATTGCATCAGCCCCTGCTGGCCTGCTCTGTCCTTCCCCTGAAGCTTTTAATGTATCCATTTTAATAACCTGGTGTGGGGCCCAAGCGCCCTTAATCAAGCAGGTTCCATGGAGGGTTTGGGGGGTTTTGGGGGCCGTTGTTTTACAACACACTGCACCAGACTTTCATCTCTGCCTCTTGCGTCTTACCCAGCACAGCGTGGAGAGCCCTCCAGCAGGTCGAGTCTGTGCCGTTCTTGAGAAAGGCGGCCGGATGCCCCGCGGTGAACAGACCATCGTTTATTCAGGGTTCGCCGACGGAGAGCTATTCGTCCTGCTTCCAATTTCTTGCTCTTCAAAAAGCTGCAATGAATATTTTTATGTTTAAGCATTTTAATGCATCAAGACATTTCCCGGGAAAGGGTAAAGACTCCTTTTCAAGTAAATTTATTGTAGCAAATTTAAAGAAAATCATGAGGCACTGGACCCGCAAAGGCAGGCATGATATCTGGGGAGCACAGGCCCTTCACTGGGCCCCCTGTGACCGTGAGCCAAGGCATGGGTGGAAGGAGGGTAGGTGGTAAGTTCTGCAGCACAGAAGTCAGAGACCGCGGGGCTCCCTTCTTGGGAGAGGAGGGCGCGAAGATGCCTGGGGCACAAAGCACAAATCTTTGAGTACGTCTAGTGTCATGAAACTGGCTTAGAGGTTGTCCAGGGAACTGCAGATCCTGCTCACTCACTCATTCAGTCCATCAACAAACACCGTGGAGGGCACCCTGGGGGACGCAGGACCGACTCAGCCGTGGGCCTGTGTGCCCTTAGGTAGCAGAGGGTGGGTGCCCAGTCCTAGAGAGAGGGTGCAGAGCTGCAGCCCTACACACATGTGCATACACAGCCACACACACATCCACAGAGACACCCTCCCACACCATCACACCCTAACGCACACACTCACGCACATACACTGCAGCCGGCATCCTCATCTCCAGCACACGGAGGAATATTGAAAACTACGCTGGGGCCCTGGGGCCGTTGCTGTGGGAACCAGGATTCTGAAATCCCGACTTGCACGCATCTCATTCTTGCTCTGAATATTACATGCGCCGCAGAGTTTATGCTCTGAATTCTGAGTCATTTCCCTTTTGCAGGGTCAGGCTGGGCAGCCAACCAGGGAGCAAGCGAGGATGGGCAATTAAAGGCCTGATTGCTTTCTGTCTGAGTGATGGAGTGGTCCCGCCGGGTGCTATGGGAGAGCTGCGTCCTCAGGGGTGTGTGTGTGTGTGTGTGTGTGTGTGTGTGTGTGTGTGTGCATGCATCTGGCTATGAGTTGTGGAATATTCCCCAGCGAGGCTGAGGATGTGCCTTGGTCATTCCTGAGTCTCCAGCCCTTGGCTCCTTCGGGCTGAACCAGGAAAAGCGTGGTAAGGAGACCAGGCCCAAATCTTCACAACTTAACATGGCAAAGTTCTCTCTTGCCCTATCACCTCAAGTTGGGGGAACATCCCCCTCCATCTTGTACTGCATCTGAAGCTCAGGGCCCTAACATGGCGGGGGGTGAGCGGGAGGAGGCCCGCTGCTCTGACCTACTTGGCCCCAGACGTGGGCACACACTTCTGCTGGACTCGGTGGCTTCAATCCAAGTTGGGTTGGAGACCGGGGTGTGGAGGACTCATCTGGGACCCCAGTCCCAGCCCCTGTCCTCCTGTGTGCTTCTGCTGTCCAGAACCGCCAGCCCAAAGGGGACTGGATTCCTTGGAGGCAGCACGAATCCTGGCTCTGCCATTTGCCAGCCCGAGGTCCCCTATCAGTCTGGTCCCTGCAGGAAACAGGAGACACACTAAAAATAGGAGCTTGAAGGGAGCTTATTTGCAAGAGAACTACCGACCAAGGACAAGGCCAGGCTTCTTGCAAAGTGACCAGGTGCTAGGAGCAGCTGAGCTACTACCTCCCTGGGCCCGAGGAAACAAGACCAGGGAGTGGTCAGTGAGATGGGGAAGGAGGAGGTCACTTGAGGGACAGCCTGGTGTTGGGGTTCCCCACTGGCTGAGCCAAACCAAAGCCAAAGAGCCCAGGAAGATGCCGATTTAGTCCAAATGGGTCTGACTCCCAGGGCCAAAGGACAGAGACGCTGGAGGGGCAGATGGACACTCTGGCATGGACGATCAATTTCTGCGCTCTGCCCTCATTTGTAAAAAGTGACTGCCAGAGCCTGCCTTGCCGAGTTGTCCAGGGCACACGCGGTGACAGCAACTGTCAGGTTCTCAGGCTCTGAAAGCACTTTGTAGCCCAATTGTTCCCAAGCCAGGATGTGCCACTGACCCTAAAGCCTGGTATGAATTTCTCCCCCAAATTTTCCAATCAAAAGTTTTTTTTTCCTGATAATAACTCCCATTTTTGAGCTGTTCCTGTAAGTCAAGTATTTGACAGGTAGTGTCACCCTTTAGCCTCCCAGTACTTCTCTAAGCGTTTCTGCCAACAAACTGAGGTTAGTAACCCTCATCCAAGGTTTCTCGGCCATAAACCAGGTCTGGCTCCCCAGCCCGTAGCCCCTTCCCCAGCCCTGCTCTACCTTCTGAGGCTCCGTGCGCAATGCGTTGACCCGGGGAGGTTGCTGCAGCTCCCAAGCGAGACGGTTGGAGCATCAATACAGGCCAGGGGTGGGGAGCAGCGGGGGGGGGGGGGGTGTCAAATGCACCCACAGCCCCGGACACTGTCCTGGCAGTCATGTCCCTAGAGCCATGGAAGGCTCCAGAAATGGGCCCTGCCCCTCAAGGCACCTGTGTGCCTCCATGCCCACTGTGACTGCTGTCATTCCAGGTCACCCGTCTCCAGCCCCGCCCGGCCAGGCCAACAGCAGCCGAGCAGACAGCCGACCTGCGGAGCCAGGTGAGAAACAGCTTTCCTGGGACCACAGGCCGCTCTCTGACGCCAAATTGTTGGTCTCTCTGGGCAACGGGAAAGGAAAATACACTTTTAGGCCAGGGAGGCTCCTTAACGTCACAAGGTTGTCCATCCTGGCCAGTGCTACTATTAGAACTACCATCTTCCAGAGGCCGCTGGTAAAATGTCACCTGCATGTGGCCAGGTGTTCAGGCGCATTTACGGGGGATTTCTTGAGAACAAGCTAAAGGACCCTGGTGGGGGTGTTGGGTTCTGTTGACTTACTCAACATACTTATTAATGTCACACCCATTGCTACACTGGGGGCACGGGGTGCAATCCTGGGCAAAAACGGGCAGGGATTTTCTGGGGTTCTGGGGAAGAGAATCGCCATCCTCTGGGGCAGCCCATCTTGAACCCCATCACCAACCCTCCAGGGCTCTGGGGTCCCTGTGATAGCCTAGAGATCGTACTCTCAAAACAGGGGAAGGCCTGGAGAGATAACACCCACAGCACCAGGGAGACGGGAGGGTTATGTGGACTGGACGCCTGGTTCTGGTTCTTTGTCACCCCAGAACTAGCCCATCCTAAACCCAAGTCACGTCAGTCTCACCTCCTGGCTCCAAGGAGAGCCAGAGGGTCAGGCCTCAAGGGGGGCTGGGGATAAGCCTGCCCAGGCCTGGCACCAGCCCAGAGGCTGAGCCCAGACAGGTAGGAGACTGTCCGGAGTCCTTCCCAGGTCAGCGCTGAGCCTGGCAGTCCCTGGGCCCCCTCCCCCACCCCAAGATCCACAGCCTGGATCTGTCCAGGCCTCACTCAGGTCTGGTCCTCCAGGGCAGCGGCTCGGGATCCGGCTTGTGAACGGGAGCAGCCGCTGCAGCGGGACAGTGGAGCTCTGGCGAGGGTCGTCCTGGAAGCCCGCCTGTGGGGACTTCTGGAATGACAGCACCACGGAGGCCGTGTGCCAGGCCCTGGGCTGCGGCGGGGTGGGGTCAGCCGTGCAGCCTGCTCTGCCAACCCCAGAGATGCTGCCAGGTCCCCACGCGTGGAACACCAGCAGAGACCCGAACGCCACGTGGGCCCTGTACCCGGTGGTCATATGCGGCCGCGGTGCCGAATGGCGGCTCTGCCATGTGGAGGACGACACGTGTAGCAGCAGGCGGCCGGCCCAGATCACCTGTGCAGGTAGGAGCAGACCAATCCGCACCCCAACCTGGGCCCCTGCCTTACCCCCTCAGGCCTTCAGCCACCGGCCCTCGCTCCTGTCCCCAGCCCTGGCCACCCGAAGCAAGATTTGTCCTCTGAATTCCCACCCCGCCCCCACCAACGCCAGCACAACTGGGCCCCACACTGCAGCCACACCTCATTTCCAGGTCTGAGTATTTCCTCAGACCCTCCCCTGCTAGCTCTCAGGTTCTCCCACTTGATCCCCAACTGACCCCTTGGGTCCCCAAATTCTAACTGGTCTCTAGCCCTTACTTACTGCTCTGGATCCTCCTCTCATTCCGGGCCTTTATCTCTGCCTCCTACTGTCCCCCCACGCCACCCCCCCACCCCAGCTACATAATGTGCCAGGGTCCCTTAGCCCCTTGCGACCTCCCGTCCCCAACCAGCTGGCCAGCCCCGCCCCCCCACCCAGGACTGCAGCTCTGCCTCCCCAGTCCTACGCGCCAGGTTTACTGGCCTTTCCACGGAGCCCCAGCTGGCCCACAAGGTGTCCTGCCTGGTCTCCAGGTCCCCCACCTCAGTCCACTAGGTCCTTGGCACCTCCCAGGCCGGTTCCTGGCCACTCTCATTGGGTCCACAGGCCCACCCACAATGACCCTGCCTAGTTAGGACCACCCGCCTACTTTCCCCTTCCTGGCCACCCCCCCACCATGCTCCCCGCTCTCACCCCCAGAGAACCAGGCACTGCGGTTGGTGGCCAGCAGCAGCCGCTGTGCTGGCCGTGTGGAGATGCTGGAGCACGGCCAGTGGGGCTCGGTGTGTGACGACACGTGGGACCTGGAGGACGCCCACGTGGTGTGCCGGCAGCTGGGCTGCGGCTGGGCCATCCAGGCCCTGCCCGGCATGCACTTCACGCCCGGCCAAGGGCCCATCCACAGGGACCAGGTGAACTGCTCCGGGGCCGAGGCCCGCCTCTGGGACTGCCCTGGGCTGCCAGGACAGGGCTACTGCGGCCACAAGGAGGACGCCGGGGTCATGTGCTCAGGTCAGTGTGCAGCGGCTGAGCCTCAGGCTTCCGCCGACCCTCGCGTAGGCCTACTGGGTGCAGGCTTGGAGGCAGAATAGGAGAGACAGCCCCTGCCCATGGAAGGGAAGATGACACCCCGACACGCAGCCCCAGAGGGAGTGCTAGATGCCCTAGAGAGGACGTGGGGGAGTTTCAAGGCAGCTAGCAATAGCGCGCTGGAGGGCTGAGCCCACCCACTGCCCGGCAGAGGTGGCATCAGTGATGTGACTCCTTCTGCTTGCATCTTGGTCATCTGGCTCAGAGCAAAGGGAAAGGGAGCTGGGGAGGCTGAGGCGGCTGTGTGAGGCTGGGAAGTTGGTCCGACCAGTCCTCCCCAGGGTGCGCAGGAATGGGGCGGGGTCAGTAGGCCTGGGGCAGGACTGGAGATTACCTGTTTCTGACAGGATCCCAGGCATGCACCTGCAGACTAGCAAGGACTAGCAGGGGCTGCCAGAGCAGGGTGGGGGGTGGGAAGGGAGGATGCCGGAGGGAGAGCACCCAAGATCTGGACACCCATGGCCCCGGGGTGTTTGCATTCGTAGATCTGGGGCTGTTGCCCAAAGACCCTGTCCTGACTCTGCCTCCCCCTGGCCCCCCCAGAGCACCAGTCCTGGCGCCTGACCGGGGGCGCAGACCATTGCGAGGGGCAGGTGGAGGTCTACTTCCGTGGGGTCTGGAGCACGGTGTGCGACGGCGAGTGGTACTCATTGGAGGCCAACGTGCTCTGCCGGGCCTTGGGCTGCGGGAACGTGACCAGTTGGCCCAAAGGGGGGCCCCACTCCCTGTCTGGCAGGATGTACTACTCGTGCCGGGGCTGGGAGCCCACCCTCTCCGACTGCATCTGGCGCTTCAACAACGACAACCTCTGCACACAGTCCCAGGCCGCCAGGGTCCTCTGCTCAGGTAGCCCCTGGGCCCTGCCTTCTCTCACCCCCACCCCCACCGAGATTTGCACTAGGAGGCCCACCTGAATCCACAGCCTCAGAATTTGCAGCCCCAAGTGTCACAGTTTAGCCTAGAGCAGGAGTGGCAAATACTGGCATCAGAGCACCCGTGGCCCCAGCGAGCCGGGGCAGGCGTTGCTTATCCATCAGGACTGTCTCACCCCAAATCCTCCACTTCGTCCCAGAGTCATGAATCAAATACTCACTAGGCCTTGCTGTTTGCTAAGAGTGGGCTCAGGAGATGAACGTGATTTGTCCTCCCAGGACGGGAAAGCGCAGAAGGAGACACCGCCCCTCTCCACACTGGCCCTGAGCTCCCCTCACATCCAGCAAGACCAGCTCCTCTTGTTTCTCATGTCAGCCCAACCTCACACCCACCGTGTGAATTGAATTGTGCTGTCTTTCACCAAATCTCACATGGCATGATCTTAAGCCACAACCTGATTATTATATGTCCCCTAAAGGACAGAGCACTGCCCCCAAATTAACTCTGGACATGCCACCCGGCGTCATGGCTGACATCATCACTGAGGGGTTAGACCATGAAACTGCAAGAGCCTTTGAAGAAACAGGGGAGCATTTCTGTGTTGCTCAGTTGCCCGGCTGCTATGCCTGCGCTTCTGCCACTGGCTGCTGGGGGACTTTGGGCAGCCCAGAACCACCCCGCCCCACCCCTGGGGCTTCAGGGACTTCAGTTTTGAGAATATATGGGCGCTCATACCAGGCAGCTCATACCAGGCTGCCTTATAGGGCAGCTGGGAAGTCAGGTGATCATCACAAAGGACTTTAGGAGCTCCATGCCCTGCCTGCCCCCCAGATGCTGGGTACAGTAATGACGATAGGGTCAGCCTCCCGCCTCCTGTGGCCGCGTGAAGAGCAAAGCCAGGCTGAGTGCAGAAGGGATTTGTGGTCCGCAGGTTACGCAGAAGGAAGGGCTAATTATCTTGTCAGCCCCTTAAGAAACGCCCCAGTATTAATCTGTGGCCTCCTTATTGCCTGGGGTAGAGAGGGGTAGGAAAAGCAGGTGTCCTTAGCATGTGCCCCAGTTCCGGGTCACTTGTATGTCACGGTTAGTTTCTAGCACAAGAACTGGCGCACAGTAGGTGCTCAGTAACGTGTTGCGTGAACGAGCCATGCTTTCTGGCAGGTTCCCGAAGTTTGCTCAATCTGTCCACACCCGAAGTCCCGACCAGTGTTCCGCCGGTCACTGTGGGTGAGTGTCACGGGGCACGTGGGTTCTCAGAGGAGCCGGCACCTGTGTATGTGCGCGTGGGTGTGCGTGTGTGTCTACCTGGAGGGACCTGATGGTGTGTGCCCACCCTCTGCCACCTCGCGCCTCCCCTCCCTGCCACGTCCCTGGATCCTGATATTTCCTGCGCAGGAGTCCACCCCTCACCCTTCTGTGAGCTCCTGCAGGCCAGGAGGACAGAGCTGAGAAAGAGCGCTCGTGTGACACTGGCTGAACGTGGGGACACCACGGGTAACAGCCCGTTTACAATGTCCCTGGCACTGCCCCGGCCTCTCTAGTCATTATTTCCCAGCTCTTTCATCCTCTGCAGCCCCAGGGGGGAGGTCTCATTGTGACCCTTACAGAGAAGACAGCTCAGCTTCGCTCCAGAAGGTGGAGTGACGCCAGCCAGAGTGACTGGGATTTGTATCCAAGCCTCTGAACTGCAGACGGGGGCTTGATCCACCCGCTGGCTGTGTGTAGCTTGGCTGGATTCAGCTCAGTCCCAGCCAGCTCGCTACATGTGTCATGCTGGGCAATTCTTAGCCTCACTGAGTCTCAGATCCTTTGACTATAAGGTGGAAATGATGCCATAGGACCTCTCGCCTGGCATGATTGCCGATCACCCGGGAATTAATTTTTACGCACTTAGCACTTAGGTAGCGCTTCAGTAACTCATGACTTTTCAGTCTGGCACAGAGCCCCTTGCAGCCCCGGGGACCCTGATTCATGGGCTGCCCAGCCCTGCGCCCGCAGGGCTCTGTTTCACCCCAGAGGTTGAACAGCGCGTTGGGCGGGGAGGGGCACCAAGTCCTGCCAGCGAGGATGAGGGCACCAAGGGGGGGGGGCGTGTAGCATGCTGGGGACGGCAGGGTTGTAGGGTGAGCTCCTGCCGGGACCCACGGGACTCCCATGCTTCCTCACACACTCTCTTCCTGGGGTGGAGCAGCCTTCAAGGACCATTCCTGGCTGTGCCCCACCAGGCTACGCCTGCGCCCCCACCCCACTGGGCCCACACCCCCTGGTGACCCTATGGTCTCACCTGCACCCGTTCCTACTAATAAATCCAGTTCCCCATCTTGACCCAATTGCCCCCTTTGCAGGAGGAAGGGGAGGGGAGAAAGTGAGGACAGGGAGGGGGTGATCTCCCGGGGAGCAGACACCACCCCAGCCAGAGGGTCAGGACGCTCTGGCCCCGCGATGCTGCCCCTGCCTTTCATCCAGCCCTGGGGTCTGCACACCCCCTGGGCAGGGAGAGGTCCCATCTCTCTTCCCCCACCAAGGTCCCAAGCTCCTTCCTCTCGCAGCCACTATCCACGCGCCACCTTTGGGTTCTTTTAAGTAGGGGTGGAGCGAGAGGGAAGGGAAGGCAGCCTCACGGCTGCTCATCGGGCAGTCTGGAGTCAGGGCTGGTCCTCACCCCTGCCCTCAGGGAGGGATACCTTGGGCACAGAAGGTCTAGCTCTCAGGGTGGTGTGTCCACTGCCAGAGGCTCAGCGGACCTTCTCCGGGAAGCAGGCCTGGTCTTCCCCACAGAGAGTGAGGTGCCCTCAGTGGGGCCTCCTGCCCCCAGGGCCCTCTCAGCACCTGCATCACAGCAGGCATCTCACCAGCTGCTCCGAGCTGACTCATTCATCCACCCCCTGCCCGAGCCCCTCAAGGCCCTGGCGCTGCAGTCATACTTGTTGCCCTGCACACAGTGGGTGCTCAATCATTGTTTAGCAGAGAGATCCCTGTGGGTGGTGGTCAGGAGGAAGCTTTCTCCTCCAGCCAGGTGTCCATTCGCTGCGTGTTTCTTGAGCGCCAGCTATATACAGGGACCTGAAATCAGATGGGAGGATTCAAAACAAGGGAGGAGGGGGGATCCCAAGCGCAGGTGGGTCAGCTGCTGAGAGGATGGAGCGGCGAGAAGGGCAAGGAGACTTCTCTGTGCATTCCTCATTCTCCCTGCTTTGGGGTTCTTGCTTCCAGAAACTTCTGTGTCGGAGAAAATAGATTTGGAATCTCGGGAGCTAAGGCTGCTCATCCCCTGCATAATTCTGGGAGTTCTCCTCCTGGGCTCCCTCCTCGCCATAGGCATCATCCTCTTGAGAATGAAGGGGAAATACGGTAAGTGCAGAGCTCTGGGAGCCGCAGGGAAGGGGCAGGGAGGGGAGAAGCAGGCCTGGGATGCAGACCTCAGACAGATGTCAGTCCTGGGGGACCCCAGCAGGAGCGGCGGGTGACCCCGCCAACCCTGGCCCTGGGAGCACCGCCTGATGGGAAGGCATTTCCCAGCATGCCCTGCACACGTAGGTCCCTCAGGAGCAGATAGTGTGGGGTGGGGGGAGCTGGTTAGGAAGGGACAGTCTCGAGGAGAATAGAACCAGGTCGCCCGGAAAGGGTGAAAACTGACGCGTAGACTCTCTCCCTGCCCTCCTCAGCCCTCCCCATTATGGCGAACCACCAGCACCTGCCCACCAGCACCCCGGCAGGGGTCAATAGTTACCAAGAGGTGCCCAACACCATCCCCAAAGAAGAAGGTAGGACGTCGCCCAACCTGGGGGCGGGGAGGTCTGGCGAGGACGGGGAGGTGTACATTCTGGAGGGTGAGGGCTGCTGAGGTCGAAGCGGAGCCCTGACTGGAGATGACCCTGCACCAGCCCTCCTGGCCCCCAGGACAGCATGGGCCCCTGGAGGGTCATGTCTCCCCCTGGGCCTCAATGCTGACCTTCTAGTGCAGCCTCCTCGGACTCCAGGCTTTCACGTCTGGACACATACAGTCCTGGGGTGTTTGGACCTTGCTTCTCACGGCAAGCTCCGCTCTGCTCAGGGGCCAGGAGGTCTGTGACGTCACTGCCTTTTAAAGGCAGTCGGCCTCCTGCTGAGCCCCAGCAAGGCTGCCCTAGAACCTCATTTTATTTCTCATTCTCTCGGAGTGGGGAAAAAAATCAGCACCGAATCAGCCAATCCTCTGTCGTGACACAGGGGTTTGCATCTCTTGAGAGTCCTGCAAGGAGGTTCGGGTACATTCTGGATGTGCTAAACCACCCTTGTCAGGAAGGGCTCCAGGACCGGCAGCGTAAGGCTCAGCCACATATTCTCTGCTGTCCCCCTGTCACCCAGAGGAGAATATGCATGCAGAGCCCACAGAGTGGCCGCTCACGGGTGACCGGGGCCAGGCGAGGAGCACGTGGCCTGCTTCTCCGGGCCAGATGAAGGCTGCTCTGTGCCTCGGTTTCCCCGGCTGTGAAACGGGGAGACGACTATAGCCACCTCGCAGACTTGTTATGGGAATAAGTGAGATGACGTGACAGTGACTGCTCTGCCAGTGGCACCCTCCCTGCCACTCTCTCGGTCCCGCCACCCATGCTCGCCACCGCCTCTCCCTGCGCCTCTCTGCCCACCCTTTGCCAGGCCCCCACTCTGCTCTCTCCCCAGATCCCAAGCTGCCCATCCAGGTGCAGGCCCCACACCCCGAGGCCTCGGACTCTGACTCCGACTACGAGCACTATGACTTCAACAGCCAGCCGCCCGTGGCCCTGACCACCTTCTACAGTGAGTGCCCGGGCACGGCCGGGGCGGCACCCCTCCTCGTGAGCCCCGAGACTGACTCACTAGCCGACGCTGGACTTCTCAATGTGCCTCCCAACCCTGGAGACGTGTCCCCTCTCACCTCCTTCCTCCCCCATTGTCTGTGGCCTGGGGGTCTTCAGACCAGTCCCTCCACCTTCCCCCAAAGTGGGCTGTGTCTGTGGGAGTCCAGGCGGGAGACAGCATTCGGACGGCTTCTGCTCCCCCTCCATGCTCCAGCCTGCCCGGTCACCCTCGCCCCACCCTCCTCCGCTGTCAGCCCAGCCTGTGCCTCTCAGCGGACTCTCCCAGCTCCTTGCTCTGCCCGCTGGGGACGGAGGACGGCCAGCCCGGTCGGCAGGGCCCAGGCAAAGCCCAGCAGCTGGGGAGCAGAGAACCCCACACCTCTGGGGGAATCACTTGGGAACTTGCCCAAATCCTGAGCCCCACCCCCATCTTTGCCCCTACTGTAGGAGGCAGGATGAGAGTTGGACTGTGTGACAGTGACCCCCAGGTGACAGGTGTCCTGAGGTGTTGGCAGGAGCCCAGTTTCCTTCGTCCTTGCTTTCTGCAGTCCCGAGGCTGTTGCCTAATCCACAGGGTCCAGCATGGCTCCCAGCCCCGCCGCTGGGCCCACAGTCTGGCCAGGGGCAACAGGTGGGGGAGCGAGGCCTGCCCTGTAAGGTAGATGCTGGCAAAGCCCGCATCGCTCCCACGCGCGCTCCAGCAGCCAGGACTGGCACACGCCAACTGCACAAGAGACAGGCTGCCGAGTCCAGATAAAGACCAGAGGGAGAACGGGTATTTGGGAGTAGATGGCCGTCTCCGCCCCTCCCCTGCTGAACCAGGACCCCTGGGGGCAGGATGCAATGATTCCACCTCTGCGGGGCCATGCACCTGCATCTGGGAGCCCTGAGGGTTGAGGTGCCCCTAGACCCCGAGATTCCGAGCCCAGGCCCATAAGACACAGACTGAGAGGCCCGAATCCATGACGCTGAGACCAATACCAGGGGTTCAGAAGCGCTGACACCGGGGTTCCAGACCCGCAGGCCTTTCAGACCCTCTGAGTTTGCATCTCTGTGGTTCAGAAATGAAGGTTCCACTCTGGGAAGGCGCCTGTCCTCTTTCCTGCCCAGAGTCTTGATATGCCTGGAGCCAGGGTGGGCAGCGGGGCAGGGCACTAGGGTTTCTGGCCAGAAACAGCCTGTCCCTGTGTTGGGTCCAGATTAGACATTGGGGCCTGGACAAGGGCGTTAGCTTGGGAACTGGCAGGAGGCCAAGATCCTCCGTATTGCTGGGCTTGTCCTTCCACCCTGTTCAGCCCGCAGCCACCCTCCCAAGTTGCTAGGAAGACTCCCCACCTCCAGGCCCCAGGGACCAGTAGCCTCATCCTACCTCAGTGCCTTTCTGTCTGTAGATTCCCAGCGGCACCGGGTCACAGACGAGGAGGTCCAGCAGAGCAGGTTCCAGATGCCCCCCTTGGAGGAAGGTGAGTCCGAGACGGGGCGGGGGCCTTGGAGGGGGTGGTTAGGACGCCCGTCTGCCTCCCAGGCACCAGCCAACAGTAACCCCCTCAGACTTTAACCGTTTCTCCCGGCAGTAAGTTCTTTCTCAAATCTAATTTAAAGTCCTCTTGTCGCATTGCTTCTCTCCTTACCACCCCCTTTCCTGGCACAGGGCTTGAAGAGGTGCAAGCCTCCCAGGCCCCACCTGCAAGCCCTGGGCTCTGCATTGCAGACACTCCCTCCCTGGGGCCCCAGCACCAGCTAAGGATCAACAGTGGGTCCAGCACCTCCTCCGGGGAGCCGTACTGCAATAACCCCAGCAGCGGGGTCCCTCCCTGGAGCCCTCCAGTGTTTTCTCCCGAGACAAGCCCTCTCCTGGAGCAGTCCCCGAACTTGGAGCTGGCAGGCTCCCAGGGAACTTTTTCAGGTAAGCTGGGCCCCGGATTCCGCGCATGCTCCAGCCTCCCAAGCTGGAGCCCACTTGGCTGGGAGCCCTGAGCCAGGCTGAGCGTGCGAGTCTAGTCTCAGCGCTGCAGGTACTTGCTGTGTGGCCTTGGACAAGCCTCCTACCCTCTCTGGGCCTTCATTTCCTTGTATGTCAAGATAGAGACAGGACTGCCCGTCTGAGGGCTCCCCAGGTCTGGGGACAGGTGGGCTGTCTCTGGGGGAGGCGTGACTGGCTCTGGGGTTTCCAGCAGGGCCCTCGGCGGATGACAGCTCCAGCACCTCTTCCGGGGAGTGGTACCAGAACTACCAGCCGCCGCCCCAGCCCCCTTCCGAGGAGCAGTTCGGGTGTCCAGGTGCCAGGGACAGAGGAGAGGGAGTGGGTGAGTAGGGAAGCTGTGGATCCGCTGGGCATGGCTGCCCGGGGAGGAAAGAAGAGAGGTGGTGAGGTAGAGATTTTTTCTTTTTAATTAATCAAAATACGAGGAGGTGGAAAAACAGATGTGGGAGGGAGCAAGATGCAAGGCGACGCCTCGACCGGGAGCAAGCGCCAATGAGTGAGGCATCCAAGCAGGAGCAGCCAGACAGCCTTAGGGCGGGGGGAGCAGAGGGCTCGGCCTGGGTGCTGCTGCCCTGAATACACGGGGGATAGCTGACCAGGGAAGGTCGTGGGGAGGAGCCTGCCCACCCAGACCTGCTCAGCTCTGGCCCACGGGGCCACAGGGGGAATGACTGGGCCTCCCGCTGACCAGAGTCTCCGGCCACACAGGGTCCCCCAGCCCCGAGCCCGCATCTACCGATGAGGACTACGACGACATCGGAGCCGCCTAGCCTGTGCCCAGCCCGACTCCCGGTGGCCTCCGCCCACTGGGCTCCTGCTCTAGCTACTGCCCCTGCCCACTCCTCCCCCCAGCCGGGCCTCCGGGGAGCTGAGAGGCCTTCCCCGAGAGCCGAAAGGAAACTCCATTCCTCACAGAGAAACTGCTGGCCCAGCCCTCCACCAGCCTCAAACGGCAGCCCCACTGTGGACAGGGAGTGAGAGGCAGTGAGGCCTCTGTCCCTGGGGTTAACCAATAGAGCCTGGGCCACCTCTGGGCCAGCTGCGTGGAGACTTTGGATTGAATGACCCCCGAGGGTCCTTAGAACCCGCGAGTGTCTGGTGCTCTGGTTCCTCAGGTCTCAAATGACTCTGGGCCTGGAGGAGCTGAGGGAGCAGTTGGCAGCTCCATCCCATGCTGCAGGGGTGGGGGGGAGGAGGGGCCATGCGCAGGTGCTGCTGGGCTGCTGTCACCCTGACAGGCTGTCACCCTGACAGGCAGCTGCCCCAGGCTTGCTCAGGCTGGCATCTGCACCTGGGCAGGGAGTCCGGTCTCCCGGGCACAGACAGTAGATGGCTGTCCTGCCCCCGCCACCAAGTGGCTGGAGCCTGAGGCCATTCCTTTCTCTAGAGACCCTCAGAGCCACCCAGGGCACAGTCCTGGTCTGCAGTCAATGTCTGGACAGTGGGTCCTTTTTCTGAGTTCAGCAGGGTTTACAGAGATGGCCCCAGCCCAACCCCCACAGTCTCGAGGTTGGGGCCCAGTGCCTGCAGGAAGAGAAGCACAGAGAGGTCTGCCGGGGAGCCCAGCAGCTGCACAGCCAAGTCCCCACCTGCCTCCTGGATTGAGGGGCACCTCCCCAAAGGAGAGCCAATATGCAGTGACACACCCAGAGCTATGAGGGTGTCCAGGGGGGCTCGGGGCCAACTCTGGTATCCTGAGTGTCCTGAGATTAAACTAACTGCTGAATGAAACAGCGTGGATGACATCCTTGGGGGCCTGGAGTCCAGACCGCGCGCCTGTGAGTCAGGGGCAGACCTGGCCACCGAGACGAGCTGGGAAGCCGGCCGTGGTGGCCAGCACCGTGAGGAATGCTGGGATCGAGGCCAAGAAGATTCAGGCCCCACCTCCTGGGGGAGGTGGACCCTGTGACATTAACCTCCAAGCAGTCGTGGCCCCTCCGCTGCCCATCTGCCCACACCAGCCGGCACAGGGGGCAGGGATGCTGCACTGAGTGGTTCTGACCTGGACCTCCCAGGGCTGCAAGGCAGTCACGTGAGGGAACTTTATGCCCAGCTCTGCCTGAGGGTGAGGCCTGGGGTCAGGTTTCTGGGAGCCCTCCTGGCACCAGGGGGCAGGTGGGGGCGGGGCGGGGTGACTGTGGAGGAGGCTGGGCTGCGCATCCCCATCTACCGGGCTGAGCAGGGCCTGTTTTCTGTTCACCTGGCCCGGGGTGCAGACAAAGCTGGTGCTCCCGGGCAACCGTCACAGGATGTGGTTGCACTGCAATGGGCCCCCTCTTGGGGTCCTCTGAGCCCTCCCTGGGCAGCGGGGGGATTCCTGGGGAGGAGCGGGGTGGGCGGGGCAGACTCCCAGAGTGGCTCAGGAAGCCCTTTTTTGTCAGACAGCCTGGATTCAAGATCATTCTCGGCCCTGCCCTGTCCAGGCTGTGTGACTTGGACAAGCCACTCAGTGTCTCTGAGACTTTGCTGGTTGCCAAGTTTGTCGGGGAAGTGCAGCGCTGGGAGGGGCGAGGGAGGATGGCCGCTGGCTTTCCAAGGACACTCGAGGCTGGGGGCTGGGGGCGTGGGGAACACCTCACCCCATTCACACTTTCCAAGGAGGACACTGAGCCTGGGAGGGGGTGGGCATGTCCAAGAGTCAACCCTATGCCGCCCCACCTCTGCCCCCTGGGCTCAGACAGGGAGATGGTGACCCCCTCTGATCCCCTCTAAGCTGCTTCCTCACGAGAGCCTCCCCTCCCGTCCCCTCACCCTTACACACATACCAGTTTGAGAGAAACTGCACAATTCTGAGTCATGCCTCCTCACCACCCCCCACCCCCCCCCCCACCCCCCCCCCCCCCCGCCTTGCCCCTGGGCTGCCTGGAGACACCTGGGTCACACCACCAGCAAGCAGAGCCGGCCTCCTGCGGGGGAGAGGGGCTGCTCACGGAGAGGGGAGCTGGGCCTTTCATAGGGAGCCAGGCCCCGCGCTGGGACCAGAAGGCTGAGAGGAAGAACACCCCACTTTGACCTGGAGGAGGGGACCCTGGCAGGAAGCGCACAGCAGGTGCACCTACAGCTGCTGAGAGACCCTGCATTTCAATAGGCCTCAAGGATCCCAGAGCAAATGTGGTAGCTGAATCCCGATTTCAGAAATATCCATATGGGGGACCACCCAGAATGTACCCCAGGACAGAGACGGTGGAATTTCACGGCTCTTCAAGTGCAGGGAGTATGTGGGGTTCGGGAGGTAAAGGATGGTCCAACCTGCTCAGAGAAGAGGCTGAGGCTGAGGTCAGTCAACTCTCATACCGACTCCTTCTTTGATGAGAAAACAGACCCAGAGCGGTTAAGCAAAACGCCCAAGTCACACAGCTTGAAAGTGGCAGTGCTGGGATTTAAACACGTGCTGTCTAGCTTCCTGTCCTGCCCTTCTGGGGCCACACTGCTGGGCACAGCCAGAGCCTGGCCTGCTCTGAGATCTGGGGACACCAGTCCACCAAGAGTGCAGGTGCCTGCTGCCGCTGGGCTCCAGGATGGGGACAAACTCATAGGAGGTGGGTCTGAAATACAGAAATCTCCTCACTTCATCTGGCTGATTTAAGTTGGAGTTTAAGCCAGAGGGGAAAGCTGACAAACAAGGGACAAAGGAGTTGGCTATTGAAGGATGTATAGGAGTTTGCTGGAAAAGAGTTCGCAGTGGCAATGGTGGAAGCATGGTGCCAGGTGGCTGAAGCCTGGGGGGAGGGAGTGCACCCATGGGAGAGACCCCAGAGAGCAGCTCAGAGGGTTTGTGTAAGTTGCCCGGGGGCTGCTTATGGTCCTAGGGGCACTGGGCAGTCGTGAGTCATTTCTGAGGCAGGGAAATGATCTGATGAGATGAATGCTCTAGAAAGATCGCAGCTGGGAAGTGGAGGTGGGTTTTAGGAAAATCAGTAGGGAGGTGGGCACAGGAGGCTGTGGCCAGGACTGGGGGCAGGGAAAGAGTTCAGAGGCTCATGTCTGTGCTCACTGACCCGAATGCCCGGCATCCGGGGCCTGCAGTCCATTCGCGTCGCCAGACCAGCCTCTCTGTACAGCCAGGAGCGGCAGGATTCCCCGCCCCCCACCCCCCACCGCCTGCTCTCTGGGCTGCATGGAAGTGGCTCTGAGGCTCCCAGGTCACCACTGGGGGCCCAGGCTGGACTTCCCTGCTGTGTCTGGAGGTCGCCCGCTGGCACACAACCTTTTCCACTGGCAACCTCTCCTCCGAGGCACATCTGCCAAGCTGCCCCTTGGCTCCCATCCCTCCCTATCACCCCATCAGCGGTTTCCACTTCCGCTCTCCTGAGACCCTCTGGATGGTTCTGGAGCCCAGTAAAGTACCTGGCGCTCCTGTGGCCGCCCGGCGTGGACACCCTGCCCCACTGGACCGTGGCTCCAGCCCTGTCCCGCTTCGTGGGGGTGGAATGGTGTCTCCAATCGGGGAGAAGCAGGGGAGACCCATGAAGGCGGGGACAAGTTCAAAGCCGCCTCAGTGGAAAGTTCATCTCCCACCACATCCTTCAGCTGTTTACCAGTTTGACGGGGTTCTGGCATCCTGACATGAAAAGAGGCTCACCCTTTACCACCATCATCGAGGAAGGACAGAAATAGCAACAGAGGAAGACAAAGAAGAGGGAGACAAAGGGGGAGAGAGAGACAAAGGGGGAGAGAGAGGAAGGACTAGGCCCGAGACAGCGCCTTGGGGCAGGCCAGTCCCTTATCTGTCATCCCTTGCCCTGAGCAGGGCACTGTCCCCTCGCCTGTGTGGCCTCACTCCATCCTCAAACCCTCCAGGGCCGTGAGGGACCCCAATCTCCATTGTCTTCCAGGAAAGAAAGGAGCCAGGGAACCGATGCCCCCAGCCTGGACCCAGGGGGAGAGCAAGCGGGGCCGGGGGAGGCTCAGGGAGGACCATAAAGATCTTAGGGGGCAATACCCCTCCCCCACCAAGAGGACCCCAGCCCCATCCTAAGGAAGGCAGGGCCCCTCCAGGCTCCCTTCTCCAGGGCCACCAGCCTGACCATCCACCAAGTGCAGGAAGAGCAAGGGGCACTGTCCCCCAGAGCTATCCCCCAAGCTCATCCCATGCACCCCCTCGCTAGTCATGCCTCAGGGCTCTGGACCTCCTTTCCCCGCCACCCCAAGCTTGCCTCTCCTCCACTCTCTCTCACAGCAGCAGGGGTGTGGGAGAGGCTCGTGTCCACCCTCTCCACCTGCGTCCCCACCGGTCTCCAGGCCACTCCCCCGCCTCCGAAAGACAGAAGCATTCAGCAAATTGGGGTCCTGCTTCCCTCCGAGGCTTCCATTCTGGGGCACGGTCGTCTCTCTCTGCGGGCTTGGCTCAGCCTTCCCAGCCTGGCGTCGAGGCTTCCCTCATCTGTTCAGGCCACAAGCAAGGCTTCCTCCCAGTTTTCTTACGGTATTTTTTAAATTTTTTTATTTTAGAATCATTTGAGATTTGCAGAAAAATGACACAGACATAATACAAAGTTCTTCCATTCCCAGACTCAGTTTCCCCTATAGTTATCACCTTCCCTCAACGTGGCCGACATCACATCAAGGTCCTGATGTTGTCATATTATTCACTAGAGCCTGTGGACTCTTCGATCACTTCCATTTTTACCTGATGTCCTTTTTCTGCCCTGAGATCCCACAGTGTAAGTGGTCGCGTCTCCTCAGCCTCCCCTGGACTGTACCGGTTTCTTTGTTCTTGGTAAGCATGACGGTCTTGAGAATATAGGTCAGGTATTTTGTCAAATGACCC